CCACCCTACCTCACCACTCTATCCCAACTCCCTTCAACCCAAACCCAACCCCAAGACCATCAACTCCCCCCTCCTCCCCCGACCGCCTTCTTATTCGGAAACCTGCACACGGGCCTCTTCTCCACCCTCCTTAACAGCAACACATCCTACTCTCTGGCGCAGCCAACTTCCCCTGCGGATTTCATCCCGGGAATCAAAGTCCACCGCTTCAGCCAACCCCCTTACGTCAAGTACCTCCTCCCTCGGGAAGTTATCTGCCATCAACCTCGAGACAAGGAGGAGGGGAACTTGCCGCCAGGCTTTCACTTCAGCGATGGCTGCATCCCAAGAGAGAAACTGGGACTTGTGCGGTCGAGAACAGTTATTCCTAGATCGGAGGAGACGTTGGCGAAGCTGAGGAGCTGTGCGGTCTATCGCGATGGGAGTGAGGAGCCGGTTGCGTGGGCGTTCCTCGGTACGGATGGGACCTTGGCGACGTTGCATGTGGAAGAGGAGGTTAGGGGGTTGGGGTTGGCTGGGGTGGTGGGGAGGGAGGTGATGAGGAGGGGCATTGAGGAGGATATGAGCCTGAATGATGGGTGGATGCACTCGAATGCGGCGGAGGATAATTTGGCCAGTAGGAGGGTTATGGAGAAGTTGGGGGGGAGGGTGGGGTGGATGGTTTGTTGGTGTGTTTTGGAGGTGTAGATTACACATGTTTGTTTGTATATATTTGTTTAGGATTGTTAATATACGTATAGAATAGACCATTCTCAGCGCAAGGAGATGCTATGAACGTGGACAGTCATCCGCTTATACTAGCCTAGTAAGTATAGTGACAAACCTCCATATACCAAGTCGGCCCCGGCATCAAAATAGACTACTAGGCACACTATTCAACCAAGACATATCAAAGAAATCCGGCAAATCCCAAGTATCCAGAACCGCCGCAGAAAGGCCCTCACCCAGCGAGACATCACGTGGCGAGGCAGCACTACCATCGGCACCACCACTATTGTTGTTCCCTGCTGGCATAACAGAACTATGGTAATCCCCTCCTCTCCTTTTCATATCAATAGCGGCAGTGACTTTCTCATCCAGCAGCTCAAGCGCAACTATACATCGCTGCGCAGAGGAACTGTAGCTTTGGTACTTGCGGAGAATGTCCAGAGCGCGCTGCCAGGTGCGGGAAATGGAGTCTTCGTGTAATTCGGAGAGGATTGCTTGGTGGAGGCGCCCGGCTATTAGGACTGTGCTGGCTGTGTAGATGTCTGGTTGTTTAGTTTAGGACTGGGGTTAGTCTTGCGGATCTTGGATATAGAGGGAACAATGTAGCTAAGGCTTTTGTGGGTATGATGTGACTGACGTACAGAGAATATTATACCACCAGGCCGGAAGTAGGCCGATGGTATTAGTACTATTATCCATCGCTAAATTCGTATATGTCATGTCGATGAGGTCTTGGGCTGATTTTACGCAGACTATGGAGCATTGAAGAGCGAAGCGTTGTGGGAGCGAGTCTTCGGATGGGTGGTATGTTATGTTGGACTGGTTGTAAAGGTCACAGTATTTGGATAAAATTGGACGGAGGAGGACCATCCGGATGTGGAGTAACCTAGTAGGTGAAGAGGGATCAGATATTTATCATTAAGTAGTGTTTTCTTGATTGTACCTCAGCCTCAGCACAACTCTCTGTCTACTGATAACATCATTCGTGGGCAATAGTGTGGATTGGCATCGAAAGACTTTCGGAAGGCTCTGAGACCACATGGTGAGGGCATAGTCGAGCTGAGTCACTGTTACTTGGCCTTCGTGGAAGCTTCGAAAGTAGTAGTTATGGTGGTCTTCGGGTCTGTCGGGTGGAGTGTTGCTATTCGAATAAAGGCTGAGAAGTATATCGTTCAAGATTTCGTATAGCTCCAGACACTTGGCATAGAATGTCATGAAGGAGGGTCGCTCTATTTCTCCATCTTGAAAGTGTGACTCTGCATCTTGGAAACCCGGGGGTACCTCTTCATCTATCATGGTAGGTAAAGGGACGGCACCAGCTGCTTCTTTCGATATCATGGCAGGGCGTCCCAGCGTCAGTGCGACCACCCTGCAGATCAAATCAGATAGGGTTAAGGAAAAAGAATGGATCAACATCAACTGACCGATCCATGAGAACGCATCCATGCCACAGTCTCCTGGCGAGCTCTTTCCCTTGACTGCTGGCTAGGCGTGAACTTGTCTCTGGCAGGTGGAGCCCTAGACTTTGAGCGCTGCGAATTGCCATGCCAGTAACCATCCAGCATTGGTCAGCATGATCGGTGCTTTGCAGATACTGTGACATCAAAAGCAAGCATTGAATGAAAGCGGTAGATCCTGGCTGCCACGGGTCAAATTGAATCAGTTGTTTAGCTCGAGAAAAGAAACTGTCGGCTGTTGATGCCCGGTTCTCCGGCTTGATGTTCTCAGATAGTTGACAGCATAGGGCGAATATCACATTGAATGTGCACATGATCATATCTTCATCGCTAGCGGGCCCCTCTCCGTTCCAGATTCTGAGATATTCCGCCGATAGTTGTTCGCGGTCGAAGAAGGGATAGAGGGGGAAGACAAACTCCCAGTATATTTGCATCAGATGGTCGGCCATGCGCCGCGGGGGCAGCACATGGCTGTTTATGTTGGCAGAGGTGGGAGGCCCTTTGGATCTGTGAAGGTCAAATAGAGAGGATTGCGGGTTTGGAGCTCCTGATGACGGCACTTCCTTTCCTACTGCGACCCTGATCTGCCGCATGAAGCCCCCAGCACTTGAGCTTCCAAAGAACCCTTGCGTGGGGTATCTGTCATCGGCGGCTACCTCCCCCACCATTGCGTTGACACCCTCGGCAGTGTTTGCCTGCCGCTGGGGACCAGTTGCAGTGCATGGTATGGAGGAAGACAATACATGTGGGCCGCAATCATTTGATGTTGTTTCTGGCTGATGATATGAAGACGGCCCAAGCCCATTTTGCAGGCGAAAGCTCGAAAGTTGCTGGGCCTCAATGCGTTGTGTCTGTGTTGAACGCTGGCGTTGGTTCCGTTGTATCGCAGCTTCCCTTTTTGTGTGAGGGCTGGTCAGTCTTTCCTTTCTTGCAACATTTGATCTGAGTGAAAGTCCAGTACAAGAGCGTGCATACTTGGAAGAAGCGCTCCTTTCAGCGGGGTTGCGCGAGTAGACACAGTTCAGGTCCACCCCATGGTATTCGGCCCGTTCCAAGCAAGGCCCACATGCTGAAAGATATGATCAATGGAAGACACATAGAGATAGATACTACTCCACGTACCGGGCTTTTGGCCATCACACCGGACTTTCCGGCTCCTGCACGTCTCGCAGGCCACTGCAATCTTGCGCCGCTTTGCTTGCCTGGAGGAAGACCTACCTGTGGCCGGAAGGAGGGGAATGGACCAGGTTCCGCGATCCATGTTGCTAGTGTGTGAGTACGTGAGGATTCGACTCTCCTCCGGAGGGTTCGGAGCATCGAAGATCAGCAGGAGACTTGAGGGTTGGATCGAGAGTTAGGTTCCGTCCTCTCCGAACATCCCGAGTTCCGACCCGACAACCTGCATTTGCGGGGAAAGAACTTAAACCATATCCGAAGTAGATAACAATTCGGTTGTTTGACGATCTAATTGCTTAGTAAATTTAGATGATTTTTTGGTAAGACGTCTGGGGAAACAGAAAACAGACCCTGTATATCCCCCACCTCCCGCTACTCCTTGAATCCAACCCCGCTCCAACTTCCTCCCTCCCTAGACTTGCCTGCCCATCATGGTCCAAGCAAAAGCCTTCATTGTCCCCGAGAAGCAAGCATCTTTCCAGTCAGAGACCGTTGAATTAGACGCATTGCAAAGCGGGGAGGTTCTGGTCGAGCTCAAGGCAACTGGTATCTGCCAAACAGATCTGGTTGTCCAAAGTGGGAAGATTCCCGTCCCCTTTCCCGCCATCCTGGGCCATGAAGGTACGGTTCAGTCCCCTTTAGTAGCTCCCCACGCTCGCAGGGATAATAACATACAATCCAAGGCGCCGGTGTGATTCGTGCTCTGCTCCTTTGGTTGTGGGTTTCAAACGGGTACGGGGTCTATATTCAACGTCGTCCGTCCGATCGAACGACAGGCCCGGTCCCTTCTGGTATTCGGCTTGGGCAGTGTAGGGGCGGCAGCAATCATGGCGGCAAAAGTCCAAGCCGAAGATTGTCCCGAAGTACTTGACACTATTATTGCTGTAGATGTTGTCGACGAAAAGCTGAGTATAGCCTTGGAGCTCGGAGCAACACATGTGATCAATTCAGCCAAGGAGGATCTGGAACGCCGTGTGGCAGAAATTACCCACGGTCAGGGGATTGATGCGGCCATCGATTGCTCGGGTGTGATTTCGGTGGTCAACTCGATGGTCAATTTGGTGGGTGCTGGTGGAGTAGCGGTCACTGTTGGCGGACCACCGGCCGGTCTTAAAGCCTCAATTGACGTATTTGATATGTTGATCAACTGCAAGACGTATATCGGGTGTCATCAAGGCAATGCATATTCTAAGACTGTAAGTGGGCCAAAACAGATTGGATTGAAATTGCTCTAATGCACCGTTTAGTTTATACCATTAATGATCGATCTTTATCGAAAGGGACGGTTACCGTTGGATAAATTACAGAAGACTTATAAGGTCACTGATATCAACTTGGCAGTCAGTGACATGAAAGCAGGGCGTGTTTGGAAGCCTGTGCTTCTCTGGGACTGACGTTTATATTATTCTATTGAGATGTTTCAAGTGAATCAATCAGATGCTTGTTAGAAGATTAAAGAAAAAGCGATTGAAAACGTTCCTTTTATGAAGATCGCAGTGTTCAATTCATATGACCTACTATAGGGCTCGAAAGGCTTGATAGCTAAATCTTATGAGCAAGCTACGTACATCATCCTCGGTTGATGCCTAGCACGGTAGTACTAACCCCATATCCTAGATTCCTAGTATAAATGATGTGATGAAGTCGTACTCGGTGTCACTTTCCGATTTTAGAGATTTCGAGTCAATTTCAACGACGAACAAGGACATGATGGGGCCAAAAAAAATTCACTCTTAATACCCTTTCACTACATGGGAATATGCTAGCGCTCCTGTATTAGTTCAACCGAAGTCCGGAAGACTCGGAAAGTGCGGCTTTAAGCCTCACTTACTCACGGAAGTAGGTATATGACACGACTATAACAAGATAGACTTATTTCGCCCGCCGCGGTCAAAGGAACCTTGGAGACAGCCTACCATCATGAATAAAGCAGACACAGTCGAGAACATGGAAAACAGCACCTTTCACGGAAGCTGTCTATGCACGGCAGTGAGATTCAGCGTCCAGGGCAATCCCGAGAAGGTATTCATCTGCTACTGCCAAGATTGTGTGAAGAACTCTGGAACCCCATACCAGCTTGTACGTATCTCTACTCTCCCCCGGGTTATAAAAGGGCATTACCAATAACTCGGATATCAAAGTGCGCCAAATATCATAGAAGCCAGCTGCACATTGAAGGCAGCGGCGACGGATACATCGGCACCTGGGTTGTTACCAAGACCACCAGTGGAGCAGAAAAACATAAGAAATTCTGTACCCAATGCGGCTGTACCTTATGGACAGTTCCTATGAATCATGCGGGCGAAAATGTCATTGTGCGTGCGGCTCTCACTGATGACGGGTGAGTGCAGCGTTTTGCCCTTCTTTGAATCAGTTTACTGACGAGTGAACTTGCTCAGATTGGAGAGGTTTGCTCCTCAAGCTGAGTTTTTCGCTGGGGTGAAGCCATCTTGGGTTAAGAGCCCGGATAATATTAGATCGTTTGTGACTATGCCCGGTCACTGAGACGCTTGTGTATGTAGCCAAATAAGTTGCGTAATCCGCTTCTAGATGCATTGGCTTGCCATATCAAGAGTAGGTATAGATCGAACTCGGAATACACGGATACACCGGCTTGGTAATACTCTCAATTCCGAGCCACTCGGAAGACGCATGTCTGGCTTCTCCGCTCCTCCCCGCAGTAATCCAGATGTATTTCACCCCGCGAGTTCCAGAAGAGCGGGTTTACGGCACCATGCACAACATCTCCACATGAACAGCCCAGACTACTACTATATACATGCTCCCACCTTTCGCTATCATGAACAGAATGGAGGAGAATCAATACCAAACATTTTTTATCCAGTCCCTTAGCATACTGTCCCCAAAGATACCAACGAACAACCAAATAGATCCAAGATGAGTGCGACTCCTCAGCAGACAACTAATTCTCTGCGAGAAGAATTCGAAGCATCCTCCCACAGCAAGAATTACCAGCCCCTCTGGACCGTCTTCGGTCAAATGGTGCCACCGAAGCCCAATCCCCGCGCCGTGCCAGCTATCTGGCGATACGATCAGCTTCGCCCGGATCTGATGAAATCCGGAACCATCATTACTGCGGAGGAGGCCGAGAGACGAGTGCTGATGCTGGTGAACCCTAACATGGGTATGATGATACCTTCCTCTCCCCTCCCATTATGACCCCTTCAGAGGGCTAAGGTATGATTGAATATACTGACTGATCTACGCAAACAAAGATGCCCCTCACACAACAGACACCATCTACGGAGGCCTGCAGCTTGTTCTTCCCGGAGAAACAGCCCCCGCGCATAGACACGTTGCATTTGCGCTTCGTTTCATTATTGAGGGCAATGACGGGTTCACGGCGATTGAAGGGCAGAAGATCCGGATGGAGACAGGGGATGTGATCCTGACTCCTTCGTGGTGCTGGCATGATCACGGTAATGAGGGCAAGAATCCCATGATCTGGCTTGATGGCTTGGATTTGCCGCTATTTCGACGGTTCCCGGTGAATTTCGCAGAGGAGTATACAGAGAGTCGGTACCCTGCGTTGTGAGTTACCTGTTCCGGAGGAACTAGAGCGAAAATAGGTCTTTTCTAACCGAAACAAATTTATTTATTAGGGACACCCAAGACAGCCCCATACGCTTCCCCTGGCGGGACGTGCAGGCTAAGTTGGACGGCGCAAATCTACCATACGCAGTTTATCACTATAAGAGTAAGGGGAAGAGTTATCTTTCTGATACTATCAGTGCTCAAGCGGAGCGGTTGGGTCCGGGTTACACCACTGTTCCTCGGCGGGAGACTTGCTCGTTTCTATATCATGTTAAATGCGGTAAGGGCTATTCTAAGCTTGTAACGGCAGAGGGAGCGGCGCTTGAGATAGAGTGGAAAGAGAAGGATACGTTTGCCGTGCCTGCATGGTGTCGTGTTCAGCATGTATGTTTGTCAGGTGAGCCTGCTTATCTTTTTGCGATTAACGACCGACCCATGCTGGAGTCGTTGGGGTTTATCAGACAGGCTTAAGGTCTGGAATGTGATTTGTGCAACCTACTATTATTGGGCAGGCACTTCAAGGCTGTGTTTGCTGTCTTACAAGTGAAAAACTTGTAGCTTTCACCATTTGTATTTATCTTTTTAGACTTGTCCAGGAGCATGTATATCATTTCAGCAGTTTTTCTCATGAATTTGGGGGTTGGCTTTTGTAGTTGCCACCCTTCTCTCCATTAAATACTGAATTTATCCACATCTCAACTCAAAATTCCCATATAGACTGAGGTATACATCAAAAGCATGCTAAGTGAGAGATTATCTACTTGCATGTCACTCGGCATTACTACCTATCATTCTATATGAACCATACTTGGTTGCCATGATGTTATTGATAGTCGAGGCTCATCACTGAAACCTAGATAGCCACAGACTGCTACAAATCATAGCAAAAGAGATAAATCCCTCGGATAGAGTAAGTAACAAATAGTGGGTAAATATCCATTGAGTATCCCGAGGTCATTGTGCCAACCTGAGCTACATGATATCTATCCAAAGTTCCCAGTCTTTCCGAACCCCCCAAAAATTAGTAGTATCATCCTATACTGCCGCCGACAGGCCGGATTCATCCGAAATGTCCAAGGCTTTATTAGCAAGTAATGATATCATTGATGATTCCGTGTCAATCGGAATGACCGTAGTCCAGACATATTGAAAGGTAGATCCGATACATAATGCTACCGATATCCGCGACATTCGGAAGCACGGAAAGTTCGGCTTCATCGGAGCAAACACCCAACTGCCATATAGGGAACATACATAAGCGCCTCATACATAGCGCCTGAGAGAAAAGAACAAACCATCAAGCACATTTCATGCTACAATAAAATATTCATCACAATGTCCTGGTCCCGCCTCATCCGTTTTATTGACACCACCGGAGAAGTCTGCTTCGGAGAACCAGCAATCAGCGACATCACGAAACTAACAGAAGAATGTCTCGCCGGAACCCTTTTCGCTCAGGAGTATGTGGGAGACAGTCCTCTCTCTGTGACCCCAGGCTCTCGTCGCTTGCAAGTTAAAGAACTTCTGGGCATTCTTCGACCAGAGGATGTTCCTATTATCCGTTGCGTGGGGTTGAACTATATGGCTCATAGTAAGTGCAAGACTCAGTTGGTACCAGCAGAGTAGGGCTACCTTTCGATTCCAGTCAAAGAGGGTGGCCGCACGCCTCCACCTCATCCTTCGCTCTTCATTAAGCCAAACACATCTATTGCTTCGTACAATGAGGATATCCCTATTCCCCGAATTGCTCAGGACTCGGTAGACTATGAGGGGGAGCTGGTACGTTCACCGACTAAATCCTTTATTCGATCTCGCATGTCATTGCAGTGAACGAAAGAAACATCTAACAGTGATTATTTCCTCAAAAAGACTATCGTAATCGGCAAAACGGGCAAAAACATACCCAAAGAAAATGCTCTCGAGTACATAGCCGGCTACGTCGCCGCCAATGATGTATCCTGTCGCAGCTGGCAAAAGGATCCTCTGAAGGCCGGGGGCGTGCCCCAGTGGTGCTTCAGTAAGGGATTTGATAAATTCGCTCCTGTTGGTTCGGTTTTGGTTTCTCCTAAGGTATACACATAATTTGCCTTTATTCAGATCCTCTAAGTGTCAGCTCTAACGGCAGATAGGTCGTCGGCGCAGCCGATAACCTGCGTCTTCAAACGCTGGTCAATGGCGAGGTCCGCCAGGATACAAATACCAATGATCTACTTTTCAATGTGCCTCATCTTATTAGCTTTCTTAGTCAGGGGACTACGTTGAAAAAGGGGACTGTTATTATGACGGGGACGCCGTCGGGGGTGGCAATGGGGATGACTCCGCCGAAGTATCTTAAGGATGGTGATGTTGTTGAGGTGGTGGTTGAGGGGCTGGGTGCGACGAGGAACGTTATGGTTTTTGAGTAGGGAGTTGTTGCTATTGCCCTGTTCAGGCTGATTATATAGCTGTCTTATGCATTAATTGAAGGTTTGGGTGACAATCCGTATTTTTATGTACACGGTCCGACTTGATTAGTAGAAAGACTTCTCCAGCGTATAGCAGCGTCTCGAATCAGTTACTATGATCTTCACTTTTGACCAATAGTATTATTATTCCCTCATTATATACATCATTGCACTGCACCACAGCACTATCATAGAGATTACTACCAAGTGATATTATATCCTATTCTTATCATCCTCCCAAACCCTACACCCTCCGCTCATCCCATACTCAACCCCAGAATACTGTGGCGGACCTTCATCCCTAGTGGTAGTCCTAGCATCATCATCATAGATAGCAAAAGGGCTATCCGCCTCCACCGTCTTAATCGTCGCCCTCAGGACCGCCCCATCAGCCGTAACAATCATATCCGACGCCCCATCCCCACCATCACAGTCCCATCGACATCGTCTCTCAGCGGGTATATTGATCAATTCCCGAGATGATTGAGCGGGGAGCTCAGCACGAGGTCGGTAGAATCCCGTGTCGCTGAGCTCAGCGGCTCGGTTCTTTTTGTAGGGGTAAGAGGGTGCTGAGTCGGGGAATGTGAAGGGGGGGAGGGATGGTGCGTGGCTGTGACTGTGCTTGTACTTGTGGGTGTGAGTGTGATGAGTGTACTTGGGTAGGAGGGAGGTGCATCTGCTTCTAGGTCTGGGTCTGGTTCTTGCTGTTGGTGGTAGGCGGGGAGAGGTTCCTGGGGATAGGTTAGTCTGCTATCATGAGATGGGCGAATGTGATGGTCAGGGTGGAGCTTGAGGATGTATACCGTTTGGTGACTTGGGTTCGCTGTTATGTCCACTGCGCCATCGTAGCAATCTAAATGTCTGGTGTCTTCGCTTTCGAGCACGCTGGACGCAGAATACTAGTAGGATGATGAATAGGAGGAGGCCTACTGCGCCGGCCACTGTTCCCCCTATTAGGGCTGCGGTGGGGTGCCATGTGCCTGAGCCTTGGGATGTTGCGAGGCTGGCTTGGGTAGTGGTGGAGTGGGAAGAGTGTGTTGATGTTGTCGAAGAGAGTGTTGTGGTAGGATCTTGATTTGGAGTTGAGGATGTGGTTGTGGCCATCGTTGTGGAAGAAGCTCTTGAGGCTGTCGATGTACTCCTAACAGATGATGGAGCCTCTGTGCTGGTTTCTGACGAAGAAATAGGAGTAGATGATGATGATGATGATGATGCAGAGGAAGTAGATAATATGGATGTGGCAGGCTCTTGAACCAAAGTCGTCAAAGTCACGGGCCCATCCTTCGTAGCAGGGACAGAATCCACCGAAGAAGAACTACTACTGCTTCTAGTGCTTCCACTGCTGCCACTCTCATCCGGACAAACCCCCGTCGTGCACGGATCGACCGAACAGCAGCCCTTGAACCCACCAGCAGCGCAGACATACCACTGCGCATCGGCCGGACAAGACCCATTCTGGCGGACAGCGAGACGGGCCATGCTGCGAGCACTGCAGATATCGCTTGAAAAACAGCAAATCAAACCCAATAGTTGGGCAGGGTAATTTTAAACGAGTGTCAGAGATCTAAACGAACGAAGTAATGATCTGATGTTCACCGACATGTGCCGACGGCGATGAAATATCGAGTTTCCTTGAAGATTTGAAGGCAAACTTAGTCAGTGCCAGCCACAGTGGGCGACGCCGTCCAGAATGTTGAACCCGTTCTTTGTTCTGCTCATCCCGCAGTGGGTAAAGTTTCCAACTCAAACCGAGAAGCTCGCGAAGAGATGGATTTCCGCCCCGTCCAGACAACGGACCCGAATGTTTTCCATGGGGCGAATCCGATGCATCCATCGTTGCGGTCTTATTAGCTCTAAGACCGATCGAGAAGGTCGTCTGCTTGCCACAAGGTCGGAAGTGTAGTACTAGAATCTATTGTTGGAGAATCCTGCGAGGCTCTATGGTCAATGTTCTTCGTTAAGGGGTTCTTCGAAAAAAAAAAAAAAGCCCCCCTGCGGGTCATGAAGTTTCTTTGTCTTCGGCCGCAGGATCAAAGAGGATTCGAGCGCTGACGCCAGCCCTCCTTTGACATGTAGTTACCAGTTGCAGCAAGACATTAGCACGAAGACAGCGCTCTGTGGCTCAACACAAAAACTCCATTGTATGGGATGTAGTAAACGGCTATAAAAGACAATACACGTGAGTACACCAAACTCATCGCCTGGAAAGAAACCTTGGATATACACATATGAACACACAAATAAACACGGTCGAATTTTCGTCACGCTCTTTTCCTCCACCATCCCCTAGGCTGATACATCGCGTCTAGTAAACACGCTTGAAGGGAGGCACCGACTTGCACTCGTTCTCATCGAGAGTGTTGTGCTCGACGGCGCGGTAGCCAAGCTTGACCTCACCGTGAGGCTTCTTCTGCCAGGTGAGGGTGTGCTTCATCCAGTTCTCGTCGTCACGGTCGGGGTAGTCCTCACGGGCGTGGGCACCACGGGACTCCTTACGGTTGGCGGCGGCAATGGCGGTTTGGGAACTATAACTCGAGTTAGCCAACATCCAACATTACAAAACTCTGCAGGAATACATACGCGCAGGTCAACAGGTTACGAAGCTCAAGGGTCTCAACAAGATCCGAGTTCCAGATCATGCTGCGGTCCTTGGTACCGACCTGGTCGAACATCTGGTCGATAGCGGTGACCTTCTCAACACCCTCATCCAAACTCTCCTGGGTACGGAAGACGGAAACATCAGACTGCATGGCCTTCTGCATGGCGCTGCGGATGTCGTTGGTGGACTTGGGACCCTCGGCGGTACGGACGAAGTCCAGGTCGGCAATGGACTGAGCACCAGCGTCGGAGCTCAGCTCCTTGTGGGGCTTGCCAGGGGTGGCAATGTCACGGACACGGTGAGAGACGGCACGGCCGAAGACAACCAGATCCAGAAGAGAGTTGGCACCCAGACGGTTGGCACCGTGGACGGAGACACAAGCGGCCTCACCGCAAGCGTACAGACCAGGGACAACCTGGTCGTTGCCGTTCTCATCCTGGGTCAGGACCTCACCGGTGTACTTGGTGGGGATACCACCCATGTTGTAGTGGACGGTGGGCAGGACGGGGATGGGCTGCTTGGTGACATCGACACCGGCGAAGATAGAGGCGGTCTCGGAGATACCGGGCAGACGCTCGTGCAGGAGCTTAGCGGGCAGGTGGCTCAGCTGGAGGTAGATGTGGTCCTTCTCGGGACCGACACCACGGCCCTCACGGATTTCCAGGGTCATGGAACGGGAGACAACGTCACGGGAGGCCAGATCCTTGGCGGTAGGGGCGTAACGCTCCATGAAACGCTCACCCTCGGAGTTGAGCAGGTAACCACCCTCACCACGGGAACCCTCGGTGATCAGGCAACCAGCACCGTAGATACCAGTGGGGTGGAACTGGACGAACTCCAGATCCTGGTTGGGGAGACCGGCACGGGCGACCATGGCCATACCGTCACCAGTGCAAGTGTGAGCAGAAGTGCAACTGAAGTAGGCACGTCCGTAACCACCGGTGGCCAGGACGGTGTGGTGGGCCTTGAAACGGTGGAGGGTTCCGTCCTCCTGGTTGTAGGCGATGATACCGCGGCACTCGCCGTCCTCCATCAGAAGGTCGAGGGCGAAGTATTCGATGAAGTAGTTGGTGTTGTGGCGGAGAGACTGTCCGTAGAGGGTGTGGAGAAGGGCGTGACCGGTACGGTCAGCGGCAGCGCAGCAACGGTAGGCCTGGCCACCCTTTCCAAACTCCTTCGACTGACCACCGAACGCACGCTGGTAGATACGGCCGTCCTCGGTACGGGAGAAGGGGCAACCGTAGCCCTCAAGCTCACGAACACTAGCGGGAGCTTCTCTGGTCATGTAGTGAATGGCATCCTGGTCACCCAGCCAGTCAGAACCCTTCACGGTGTCGTACATGTGCCATCTCCAGTCATCCTCGTGCATGCTGCAAGCCAGACCATTAGCGCCACTCGCAATGGAGTCAATACAGGGCAACTCACTTTCCAAGAGCGGCGTTGATACCACCCTGAGCGGCGACAGTGTGAGATCTCGTGGGGAAAAGCTTAGAAACACAGGCAGTGTTGAAGCCAGCTTCCGCCAGACCGAAAGCGGCACGCAGACCGGCACCACCAGCACCGACGACGACGGCATCGTACTCGTGGTCCTGCAATTGCATTAGCGACCATCGTTCCCACAAGATATATCCACATAGTAGCTTACAATGATAGGGTACTTCTGAGCAATGAAGCCTTCGGCCTCCTTGGCGCGCAGAGGGCCGTTGCCAAATATCCGGGCTAGCGGAGGGACCAGTTAGCAAACGTAGGCAGGGGCGGATGTGCGAGTTCAATGCGTACCAGCCGGGCGGGAAGAGGAGAAGAGACGTCTCTGGCCCAAAGCGCGGGAAATCTGCGCCAACAAGAGGAGTCAGTAAGACCATTGAGGATAGAGGAGAATATGGTGAGCCAGAATTCGGCATCACGGCAAAAGAAGTCGGATACAGACCTTCGATGCGGGAGCTAGGCTCCGCAAGCCCAAGGAGCTCATGATGACGGATCAAGAGAAAAGAAACACTTTTCCAATGAGTCCGAAGGAGGGGAGATGTGGTGGAGGAAGGGAAACCAGCGGCACAAAAAGACGGGGGAGGGGAGAGGAGAGACGAGGTCAAGGCCGGTGATGCTTTGCGAGCTGCACTTTTGGATCGTCGGTTCTGGCGAAGAGAGCGAAGAGTCCGGCTGACATAATCAGCGATTCACTTGCCGACGGGGAGGACCGGGGCCGAGAGAGCCAATCAGATGCCGCGTAGTGGTAATCACCTCGGGCAGCCGGCAGCCTGTCATTGGCCGAGGCCGCACAGGCACGTGGCCGGTCTTCTTTTAACCCGGCAGCGCGCGAAGAATTCCGGAGCAACACGGCCGGCCTGGGGAGGAGGACTATTATTGCTGGGGTTGATCGGCTTCCCAGCTCAGGGTGTCTCTATTAGTCTTGTCCCGGATGAATATGCCTCTCTGGTGACATTTTGCTGCCATTGAACCCCTATCAAACTCTGTGTTGACCTCATCCCGAAGTTGCCGGGCGTGCATGCAACGGAACTCTACGTACTACGACCCTTACTTGCCTGATGATGTAGGTTGCCATGCACTTTATACTTACTAGTGCTCTGTACTAGTAGCTTATATGCCGTGCGACCAGCAGACCATTACTGTCATATATAACTGCACAATCATATTATAGATCCCATCGTAGACTGACTGAATCACCAATGTCATGTATGATCATACACATCCGTCCAGCCATGCAATGTAATCAACCCATACCGTCTAATTATACTGCATGTACGTCGCCGTCGAGTTGAACTTCAGGTTACCCTTGATCACCTTGTCCACCGCGGCCAGGAAGTCCTTCTCCGTGGCCACCTTCCGCCGCGCCCGAATAGCAAACATGCCCGCCTCTGTCGCAACACTCCGGAGCTCAGCTCCTGTAGCGTTCGGGCACAGACGCGAAATCAGCTCCCACCGAATGTCCCGCTCCACCGACATGCTCTTGGCGTGAATCCGGAGAATGTTGGCACGGCCCTCGACATCCGGGAGCGAGAACTCGATCTTACGGTCGATACGACCAGGACGCATCAGGGCAGGGTCCAAAGTCGACGGTCGGTTGGTAGCGAACATGACCTTGATGTTACCACGTGCGTCGAAACCATCCAGCTGCGTAATCAACTCCAACATGGTACGTTGAACTTCGTTGTCACCACCCGCTCCGTCGTCGAAACGAGCACCGCCGACCGCATCGATTTCGTCGAAGAAGATAATGCACGCCTTCTTTGTTCGGGCCATCTCGAAAAGCTCACGGACCATCCGAGCACCCTCACCAACATACTTCTGCACCAACTCACTACCAATGACACGGATGAACGTAGCGTCGGTTCGGTTGGCCACGGCTCGAGCGCAAAGTGTCTTACCAGTTCCGGGAGGTCCGTAGAGCAGAGCACCCTTCGGCGGGTCGATACCGAGGTTAACGAAGCGCTCTGGCGATAGCAATGGCATCTCGACGACTTCTCGCAACTTCTCAATTTGTTCCTTGCATCCTCCGACATCGCCGTACGTCACATCGGGCTTGTCCTCGACAGTCATCATCGTCACGCTGGGGTCGATCTTGGGAGGGAGAGGTAGCATAATCTGGTATTTATTGCGGTCGACACTGTCATCTGTTAGATGGGAAGATGCATAGCAAAGCTGCAGGGTCATACCCGACTCTCATGCCCTCTTCGATATCCGTAGGACTCACGCGTTCCCCAAGGTTGACGACAAACTTGGCGATCTGCTTAACGTTGATAACATATTTGCTCTTATCCGAGTCCTTCTCATCCGAAATGATCTTTGTACAACGAGCTACCTGCAGCGGTTGCTCCTCTGCCATGCGCTGTCGGTCCGCAGCAACATCCCAAAGGTGTGGAGGCGCAAGACCGGTATCGGATTCCTAAGCAGCTAGTCAGACGTGTCCGGTATGACGTATATCGCAGACCTCAATACCTTGACGCCAATCTTCTCGTTTACACTCGCTTGTCTGTCCTTGATCTGTTTTTCGAGCTTCTTTAATGCCGTGGCGTAGGGAGCGGCACCGTAGGTCTTCAATACTTGGATATCCCTGCGGCCAGTTAGCCATCCAGATGCGGGAACCAACCACTATCGATGCTGATAAAACACCGGGAATCACCTACTCGTCTGTAAGAGGGGTGATCTTCTTCTCTGGCTCTTCGTCATCGGCGAAGTTCTTCTTGTACTTCTCCCAGTTCTCTCCCGTGGCGCTAGGCATGGTGACGGGAGGATATGTGGCAAGACGGTAAGATGAAGGAGTAACAAATCAGTTGAGAAATGTATTCGTGGAGATAAATAAGGTGAGGTTGAATGAAAGGTGCAAAGGCAATGAAGGGCGTGGTGGTGAGATGGAGCTTGATAGATGGAAGAGTGATGTGGTGAGCTCAGCTTGTTGCGGTTCGAGCTGTTGACGCTAGTGGCCGCCAAGCCCAGCAGCAACACCGCCCAAAACGCAACACCGAAGAAATTCCCAGAGCCGCCTCCAGGTTCTGGATCCCCTCGCCTCACCCACCCTTCTTTATCTTCCTCGGTTTCATCAATCTACGGTGTTTCTATCGTAGCTACTTTCATCATGGCGTCGACAGCCTCCCAGCCGGCCCCCGGCAACAATGCTTTCAAGGTGTGTCTTTTTTGCGGAGAGAAATACGTGTGGGCCGTTTTCTGATAGACTGCAGGACAAGGAGAAGCCTATGGCCGTCCGTACGTCCAACATCTTGGCTGCTAGAGGTATGTATCTATTCGGGAAGTGCTCAGGGGTTCAAATGCTAATTGCAATTAGCCGTCGCCGATGCCATCAGAACAGTACGCTTGCTTCGATATCGATATGACAAATGAGGGGCTAACCGCAACGCAGTCTTTGGGACCCAGGGGTATGGACAAGATGGTAGGAAACATGTCTACTAACATGGAGGTCCCGTGGCTAACATAGTAATAGATCCAAACACCCAAGGGAAACACAATCATCGTACGATCACCTCTCCGTATACCGACACACACCCCCCGCTAACCCCCGCAGACCAATGATGGAAACACCATGTTAAGGGATATGAGCGTCATGCACCCCGCCGCTAGGATGCTGGTCGATCTCAGTGCGGCCCAGGATGTCGAGGCTGGTGATGGTACCACGTCCGTTGTCGTTATTGCCGGAAGCCTGCTCGGTGCCGCAGAGCGCCTGCTTGGAAAGGGTATCCATCCCACTGTCATCTCGGAGTCCTTCCAAAGAGCCGCTGCCGCCGCTGTCGAAATCCTCCATAACATGTCTCGCCCCATCAACCTGACGGACCGCTCCACCCTCCTTCAGGCTGCTTCCACCTCCCTCTCCTCCAAGATTGTTTCGCAGCACTCCGGCCTCCTCGGCCCTATGGCCGTGGATTCCGTGTTGAAGGTCGTCGACCCCAAGACCGCCGAGAACGTGGACCTCCGCAATATCCGTATAGTGAAGAAGGTTGGCGGAACGATTGAGGACAGTGAGATGGTTGATGGCTTGGTTCTGAACCAGCAGGTCATCAAGAGCAGCGGCGGTCCTACCAGAATTGAGAAGGCCCGGATAGGTCTGATTCAGTTCCAGCTCAGCCCGCCTAAGCCTGATGTAGGGTCGATGATTTTTTGGACATTGGAATGGGATACTAACAATAGCTTTAGATGGAGAACCAGATTGTTGTGAACGACTACCGCCAGATGGACAAGATCCTCAAGGAAGAGCGCCAATACCTCCTCAACATGGTCAAGAAGATCCAGAAGACCAAGTGCAATGTCCTTCTGATCCAGAAGTCCATCCTCCGTGATGCCGTCAACGACCTTTCCCTCCACTTCCTTTCTCGTCTCAAAATTTTGGCCGTCAAGGACATTGAGCGTGATGAGGTCGAGTTCCTCTGCAAGAGTCTGGGCTGCAAGCCCGTTGCCAACATCGACTCTTTCACTGAGGACAAGCTGGGTACTGCCGACCTGGTCGAGGAAGTGCAGCAGTCTGGTGCTCGCTATGTGAAGGTTACCGGTATCAAGACCCCTGCTGCCGCCGCCAACCAGACCGTTTCGATCGTCGCTCGTGGCGCCAACAACCTCATTCTGGACGAGGCTGAGCGTTCCCTTCACGACGCTCTCTGTGTCATTCGTTGTCTGGTGAAGAAGCGCGCCCTCATCGCTGGTGGTGGTGCCCCTGAGATTGAGATCGCCCATGCCCTTGCCATGCGTGCTCGTCAGCTGACCGGCACGGAGGCTATCTGCTGGAAGGCATTCGCTGACGCCATGGAGGTCATTCCCACCACGCTGGCAGAGAATGCCGGTCTGAACTCGATCAAGGTGGTCACTGACCTGCGCCACCGCCATGCCCAGGGCCAGCACAACGCAGGAGTCAGCATTCGCAGTGGTGGCGTGAAGGACGACATCACTGAGGAGAACATCCTGCAGCCGCTCCTGGTGAGTACCAGCGCGATCGAGCTGGCTGCTGAGACAGTGAAGATGATTATGAGAATTGATGACATTGCTTTGTCGCGGTGAGTGACGGCGCGGAGTGAAATGGAAAAGTAAGCCAGGTGGTGTACTATGACGAGTAATTTATCAATCATACCATGTTCAAAAGATAGATCGTTGGTGTCTAATTGCACATAATCATCGCCATGCAATTTCTTCGTATTCATCTACTGTAAGATGCTCACTATGGTACTCAATATGATGCTGTATCCCATTCATAGCCCTGACTCTTCACCCTGACTGTACGCAGTACCGACGCCACACTTAGGGAAAGACAAGGCGTCACTGCGGCCCGTCACCCGGTTCACATCGGAAGTTGCCAATTTTTTTCACTAAATCGTCGGAATTAACAGAATCGTTCATTTAATTGCATCATTAACCAGTGATTATATGGGTGGGGAATTGGCTATAAAGGCAGGCTCCGTCCCCCTTCCTCTCCTCCATCTTTCTGGACTACAGCACTGCCAGTCATGATCCCTGATTTCAAGGGATAGTATACGCATACTACTACATGTATATCAACTTCTATTCTCAAGTGCGAAATATCTATCGAACATCTCTTTCTTCCCGCTGTCGTTCCAAATTACCAATATTCATCAAAAGGGACACATATACTTAATATATGTATCGTCTTTTGATCCCAGACGCTTGATATGGACCGCTAAAATGATCCATTTGTATGGCTTCTCCAAACCCAATCGTTAGTCCTCCGACTCTCAGACGATCTGCTTCTGAAACGAAGACATCTGGAGCCAACGACATGATGCCTGCTGCGCATATCTGATGCTTAGGTCCAGTGCAAGGCTCCTAAGACATCACAGAAGTATGATGGAATTCCTATGATGCTTTCCGCGCCATAGGAAGGGAACATGATCCTCTGGACGAGATACAGTCATTGATATGCTCGGGCCATTCTTCGTCGCCGAGCTAAGCAGTATCGGCGTTTCGTTAGAATCATGCCGGATTCGCTTTCTGACGATTGAACACATATGATATCACGCTCTGCTTCAAGCTTTTTCTGCATTTGGTGTTGGAGGTGGATCAGTGTCAACTACATCAAGTTAAAAGTCAAGGCGTACAAAGAGCCAGACCTTGCTTACAGCCTCGTCTCATCACATAACTTTTGCAAAATCTTTGGCATCTACATACGAAAGACCCGGCAATAAGGTCGTCAGGCACATACTACTACACAGCACTGAGGAAACGGACTTATGCAGCAGAGAACTCGCCAATGCCCGTACCACATCCAAGACGTGAGCCTTCTGCCCTAGGCGTTCAAAGCAGCACACTCATCATCGAATGCTGCGTGTTTTCCGCAGTACCGACCCTGCTATATTATACAATACTAGACACAAGTTCTTACCAATGAAGTTGATGCCATGTTCTGTTTCCGACAGACTAGGGGCCAGCAGGAATTACTCGTGGTATGGTTTGGAATTACATGCATTGGCTCGGCCAAGAGAAGAGTACCATGCTTCACGCAATATGCTCAACACATCAGCAATGAATGAAACACCTTCTGTTTCGCACGAAGAACGATCACTCTTGTGGTTGAGAAAGCATCCTGGGCGGAACTGGCCAAGTCCTGGCATTTTAGTCCAAAGGCGATGTGAGACCCCCTAAGGGGTACAGGACTGAGCCAGCTTCCGATTGATCCAACTTGTTCGGAGATCAACCCTTTCACCATAATCAGTCAACCCTATCCTGTCTTGCCTGCTACGAAGTTAGCACCAGGGTCTCTTGGTCTAGAGGATTAGAAATAGTGTTCTGTTTGTATGTCTACACATATACAGATACCGAAAAATGGCCCGTGGAGTCTCCGCTTGATATAGTGCTCCCTCTCAGAGTCTGGGAGGGCTGTTCAAGGGAAGCTGCATCTGGCTGTAGATCATACCTCCACGCATGGGGCTTGATCCATGTGGGATTCTGGACCGATGGTGACCGGCTGCAGAAAAGTACCTGGTGCTTCGAAACATACGAACTGACCATAGGTAGAACAGTATCGCCACAGTCCAGCTACGAATGCTACATACTGTTCACCCATGTTTTACAACTGGGAATGTTCCTCCAGGAAGTCTCTTGTCCGGAAGTTATTTCCATCTACAGGACGCTTTATGCTACCCTGTAACACCATGAACGCACCTGGGCTCAATCTGCGATGGTCTGGCCTCATTAGTACCAGAATATCCCACTGCTTGTGACAACGTAGATTTTATATATTTCAAGATCTAGCGAGGCCACTCAGAGGGATATGCCCGGACTATGCGCCTACTGTGCCTTGGATGGGCTGGTCTCGGAGTGACAAGCGAGCTAGCCCGAAAATACAGGGCCTGCAATGTACTACGATGCTCTCTGCGAGCCGCCCCCGCATCCGGGACAAAGAACTGAATCGAACGTATATACATACATCATGCAGTCTACTTTCCAAGTTCAGCTGCCTCTACTGCAGCGGGAGCTCATGATGGGCCCAGGCAGAGATCCCCCTGAAGGAAAATCAGCTTAAGGCGACGCGAGTGATCTGGCAAAGCGCAAGAAACGCAACAAACGGAAAGGAGGGTCAAGCAAGCATGGCATCTCCGGGCATACTGCGTTTCTGTTCTGGTAACCGCCACTCTACCGAGTTAGTGTCAGGCGACAAAGTTCGAATTCTTGTGAACCTGGCTCAACTTGATCGAGCAGCACATACACAGAAAAACCAAACAATTAGAGGATCATAATGTCCTGGTGTCCTCAGGGTAATGCTGTTCAGCTCCTCTCGATACGGTGGGAGCAAAAACAACCCTGGGATTGACAATACCTCGGCATCAAAGACTACGACGCTGATCTAGCTCGGTAGGGTGTGCGAGCAGCGTCTGACTCGAGCGGATCCACGATTTATCGACTTGGTGCTTGTCATCGATCGTGCTACACCTATAACACATACAATGTCTGCCATGCTGCTCTCCTTGACTATTTTGTCTAACTCGGATTACATGTTGCCCCCGTCTATCGGGTCCGATGCACACCGGGTAGGGAGTTAGTCCGTCTTGGTTACCCTTGCTCGAAACGCTGCCTATACCTTTACGCCCGTCGGTAAATGGTAACGAACTTTACATTGTGAACAGTAAAGATCTGGAATTTGACAGGGCTGTTCACATTGCTCTAGATGGGCGTTCGCGTCGTCGTCGTTCACTGTTTCCTCTTCTTCAAGGACAGGTACAACCAAGCAGAGCACTAGGCAGGTGAAATCCGAGCTCAGGCATACTAGGCCATGAGCAAGGAAGCTCATATGGTACTATGGGCAATGGTCTGGTGTGGGGTGCTCAGATAAGAACACTTGGGAATGTTGAGCGTTAATTTGAAAAGCTTGGTCTGTATTCATCCCTTATCAGACGGGGACTCGGAAGAGTCGACCCAGACACCCACACTCCAAGATGGAAGCAGGTCGGAAGATGGGCCCCCAAAGACATAAGAGGCTGGATCTCATTACCCGAGCAAATAGTGTGTCAGCTGGGAGGGCCTTGTAGAACAAAGATGGAGACGCATAGCTCATGTTCAGACTCTCGAGGAATCCCAAGGTCCATTTCTGCGTGGCATCGAACAATGCTTGTCCAGTCTGAAAACGCAGACGCAAAGACCAACAACCCCCGAAAGATGATCATGTTGACAAAGGGCCCACGGTAGCGCAAACAGCGCTAGAAAATCCGGATACAGTGAAGATCCTATCAGACTGATCTTTGCCGATTTATCGAGAATGGTGGGCATGTGTCGATCCTGGCAGCTTATAATGCGGGACGGCAATTTGTTCTACATTCACTGGGTTCAGTGTTCTCTCAATATTAGAGATTGCACCCATCGATCAGCCCTTGAGTATGATACCTATGGTATGTATAGCAAGGGTCCACTTTTTGTGTGTTGCTGAGCAGTCTACTCAACTTCCAAAGCTGGGTCAGTGTTTCCGGCCATCAAAAGCATTTTCACCTTCGCTTCATTATAGCTTAGTCGAGATTCACACACCAGCAAGGCTATGATACTTGAGGCAATCTCAGTTCTCAGAAAGTAACATTGGAAATAATTCACTAGGAATACTGTCGCTGCCGCACTGCGCTATTCACTTCTTGAGTGAATCTCTCATGACAAATAGTGGCAGCACCAGGAATCAGCTATATATTAGGGCGAGAAAGCATTTTCATTTCTCTCCTCTCAACACTCCCTACCGGCGATTTTTCGACTCTCAGTGAGGTTGGCTCTCAGATATTATTTGCTTCTGATAAGAAAAATTTTCGTGATGATGAAGAAGATAAGGCACTACGAGCTGCCTGTACTCAGCTTGCAGAGTTCATGGCTCTCTTCGTTGGCCTCCAGGCCTCAAGTATGACTTACTCATGGCAACCCCTTGAATAGTATGTGTGGTGACCGTCGAAGTGATTTTCGGTTCACGAAAAGGACGAGGAAGATGGTTATCTCATAGATAATGAAGATCGCAAGCTCCAGTGTTCACAACACACAGAATTGGTACGTGTCTATCCTTGTCCTTTTCCTATCGGAAGCCGATGGCCTTCATCTCTGTGGTAACATTCATTGAACTGACTGTGGTCTTGGCTCTAGGAAGATTTTCCCAAGCCCGTGTCTGTTGGTGCAGGGAGACTTCCACGAGAACTATACATATACACAATGCGGACAGTTTTACTACGCGCTAGAGAAACTGACAGCACCTTCTAGAAACCTGGAAGAGATGATTTCCAGGGGATAATCGCTCCCCGGTCCTGCGCTTCATCTTTACGCGATCATCTCTCTCCATCATGGCCGGCCCTCTGGTAATCGACAAGAACCACAACCTCAGCGATCCTGGGGTGGACATGACCAATGCCGAATAGATCAGATCCTTTAAGTTGGTGCCGCTGTGGCTCCTGAATACGGAATTTATACTCGCACATTCCGAAATGAAACCTCATCGACGTTCCTCAAAATGGTCCTCCAACTGATCGAAGACGCGGGTGAGACCTCTTCCAACAAAGGGAAGAATTTGGAGAATTCTGGAAGGCATTCCGTTTGGAACATGTACTGCTGAGAGCGACAAACTCTCCTAGGCGGATCACCGGTCCGCAAGACATAACGAGAAATCAGCGCATTGCTTCTCTAAGCGTCATCCTAGCTTTCATGTTGTCTCTTTCTTTTCACGGAACCTGCGTTTCCAGCGTTCGATAAGAAGGGTGCTAGCAGCACACCTTGAAGCACCCAGCAATCAAAGCTCACTTCACGACTACTTACTCCAGTCTTGTTCGAACGGCACCAAAAGATGTTACTGGTTGACTGGCTGTCTTAGACAGATGTGTCACTTGCCCCCAGTCCTTCAACCGATACAGCTTCCAGCTCAGATTGCTTGCTTGCTAGCATCAACATCGGCAACCTCAACTTCCAAGTGGCAGTCATTAGCCATGTCATCGACCGGCTCACCCTCTTATCCACTCATCTCTTATAGCGGAATCCTTCTCCAGGACACTCGGTCTCATACCTCTTATGTTCGATGCCAGCGCCCAATCTCAAACTTCTCCGTCATAAGGCCCTCTTGGGTTCGAGTCTTTCCATAGAACAACGAAAGAGGAAAAGAAAAAGGAAGAAAACCAAGAACTAAAAGGTTCCACAAGAAAAAAAAGAAAATAATAATAAAAAAATATAAAAATATAAAAGAAAACATCAGAAAACAACAAAAGAGAAAAAAACCAAGAACTGTCTATCTCCAGACCAATTACAGCAACGCATCTACTCTAGCCACCATCCACTCGAGACCGACTGAGCAGTCACAGAAAAACAACATCATCGCATCCCAATACGTCACATCATGCACAAAATAACATCATGGACGTTCCCAACTTCGGCCTCTCAAATTGAACACCTCTCATATCAATATGATACAAGCAACGGACAAACAGTCGGGCCTCTGGTTTCTCCAGGCTGAGTGAGAAGCAGCAGCAGTAGGAGCCATAGTTTCCGGTCCCGGCCTTTCAATGCCTCTGTCAACCTTGACACGACGCAGCGGACGGACGGGACGGCGTGAGTTCCTCAGTCTTGCGTTCCACTCAGTCACGTCAGTGGTACTTCAGCTACTCGGCTTACAGGCTGGGTAAGATGCAGTAGCAGTAGGAGCCACAGATTCCGATCCCGGCCTTCCAACGCCTCTGTCAATCCCTTGGCACGACGCAGCGGACGGACGGGACGGCGTGAGTTTCTCAGTCTAGCCATCTCAATCAGCCGCGCCAGTGAGATACAGACCGACCGACTGACCGAGCAAGGAACATTAGCTGGGGGATATCATCGATTTCCCGATCTGGCCTTCCGCGCGGCTGTCAAGCTTGCTATTGGCACCTGCGATGGACGGACGGACGGGCATGGTGTTCTCGGTTCTAGTGTTGCAAAAGTCGGTTGGTTTAGAGCCGTGGTGTCCAAGTCCAAGCGAAAGAACGATGTTCAGGTTTGATGCAGCATGGGATCGATTCATTTTCTTTTTCTCCGAGTATTTTTTTTCATCCATCATTCTTCATCAAGTGAGACGGAGTTTCAAGTCAACATGTCCTACTCCCCAGTCCTGGCCTGGCCCGGTTCGTTATGCAGAGCAATAACACAACATGTCCTCAAGCAACAAAGAGCATATCGAAGATGCGATGTTGCTGAAACACGCGATAAATACTTATCATGCCTGAAGGCATGCTCATCAGCTCACTGGTTTCCAACCTTCAAGTCCGCGATGACGGATAATATCATAAGTATAAATCATTCATCGCACCCAGACATGAACCCACTCGCCGCAGATATTGCTGCTTTATCTGAGGAATTCCAGGTGCTGCTCTACTATGGCGATGCCCGCCGCCAGGCAGGAAGCTATATCAAAGACAAGCTTACAAAAAGACACGAGATCTTCAAAGGCGGGTTGGCGAGCGCACGTACTATTGTGGTGACCTCGTACCAGACATGGGAGGCACGCCATGGCCCCCAAGCGGTAAAAGCTTGCCTGCCGGTTAAAGAAGATGCCAATTGAATACAATAAAACCACACACCAGCCAACTATTCTGGCTGCTCTGCTTGCAGAATTAGGATCATCATCAGAAATAGAGCCTCCAAGAGGGCTTGAGACAGGATATATCCCCATGGGGCTTTAGGACTTCAGATACAGGCAGGCTGCAACTAGGGGTGCCGAAATCCCAAATTCCCGAAACATTCGAGCACGTTAACTACTGCCTGCTGGCCAAGTACACCGTTCGTTCATGTTTTCCAACGGTGCTGTTCACACGTCGATTCTACCCTCTCCAAGATGGGATCCTTCAGATCATCCGCAACACCAGACTTTCCCAGCAATGTCCAACGACATGTCCTGCACTCGATCCCATCATCGCTGATACTAGCAGGATCGGGTTTTCCTTGGAATGACTTGACGAAAATCAAACGGATTGATGTGTGCGTCCTTGGGCCTCATCTTCCAGTTCGAAGAAAGGATTCATTTCTTGCCCTTGTTGTAAGGACAGTCCTCACTCAAACCGCGGATATATCCTCGCCTTATTTGGATCTGGCTGATACACTTGTGTACCATTATACCAAGAATTCATATCCATATGAACCACTCTGGGTACACAACCATCCTAAGTGATACAGGTGCAACCGCAGCTAGACATGGATGCTGCACTAGGACTGGGATATATGATGATCTCTCGAAATCTTTGATGGAAAGTCTCGCCTTCCTTGGGTAATGGGTAATGGTCACATTCCAATCGTCCACAATATATGGAATGAAATACGGGGTCCGTCTGGCAAGCATCTCCCAGGGAGGGGGGATGCGATAGCTATCAAACTCCACGGGCTCCAAGAATCACAGGAAATAATATACTACTATCTACTGTCTACCTCATTATATCACGAAAGGAAGATGAACTTTCACCATGGCATATTACAATGGGTGTCCTCGGTGCTTGTGGTGACGCTTGGCATGTTAGATCCCAAGAGAGTCATGTTTGGTTGGTGGTTAGAATTCATGGCCACGGCTCCATTTCCGTATTGGGACAGGCAAGCATGGGGTTTGTGGTTACTGCTTGTCGGAGATTAAAGGGATTAATCCCTTGTTGTTCTTGTCGGATTGATGGGCCTGTAGTGGTTATTGGAATATCCTTGTGAAGGGGATATTCTGATCTCTGTTTATGTTGATGGAATGGGAGGGAATATAGTGTGGTTGAAAATTATTATTGAGTGAAGTTACACAAAATAGAGAAATGGATTGAACTCTGGGATGGGATTCTGAAGATTCTTGTCTAAATATTAGTTCTACTATGGATGGGAGACTGGAAAGTGGATTGGATTAGAATTCCTGTTAGTCGTTTGCTTGTTTATTGTAGATGAGGATGAATAGCTTCTGAGAAACTTTCTGGCTGATATGTCCTAACTGCTTACTGCTAAAGTAGTGGGGGTTAACATTGCTCTATATACTATATAAGCGTCCGCGTTACTATTACCTAGATATAATATCCTGGTATTAAAGTGAAGGTTGAAGAGGTATCTGGCTGTCAATGATGCTATAATATGTTCGAAAATTTCTAGGCGTGTGTTATAACGGGTTACTAGCTTCCGTCTCAGTCAAGCTGATTATGTGCCGCAGTAGACTGTGGCATTCGAAACGCTAACAGCCATGTTATGGAAGGGTCAAGAAACTATCCATCAAATGATTCTGACAGGAAATGCTCTAAGGCCTCTGCATCTTCATAGCATCCAAGATCTGAGTAGAGTTGACTAGGAAACCTCGAGCTGTACCAAGTGTTAACGAGACCTAGGAACGATTATGTTGCATTTTCTGAAGAACTCACCGTCTGTATTGTAGTAAACCATTTGTGATGCACTGTTTCATAAATCAGTAAGAATGTACGGGGTCATTAGATACTAAACGACACACCCGAGGTTAACTCACTAGTATGGGCTGTCCGTAGCTGAGATATCCGGGACGAGGAACATGTCGTATCCCTTGTAGAATCCATCGAGGAGGGTTCCCCACTGGGGATGTTAGCCAGCGTGAAAGTGGCATATTCGTGTTCCCGAGACTTACAACGCATTGGTCGATGTTTACTCCGCCGAGAAAGAGCGTAGTTATTTTGTTTTCCTCAAGCCACAGCCCGAGTGGTGTCTGAGCTCCCCAAAGACCACTCTGCCGATCTAGAAACGTATCAGCTCGACCAGAGTTGAAAACATATGCAAGCACAGTGCCAATCGCTTACTTTTGTGGAATAACATATCGGTGCCCGCTTTCTCACCAGCGACTCGTAGAGGTTGCAGCGGTCCATAGGACTGGCTGTTCCAGGCACCCCGCCATAATAACCTCCCAAGTTCAATACCGTCGAGCACGCCCATATCGCTTCCAAATGTATCTGTTAAGCTGTCAGTGTTATACATATTCGGTGCGATTCAAGGATAAGAACGAACCCTCCATTCTATTGGTCCCGTTGCTGAAGCCGGCCAGCAGCGAGGGTGGCATCGTCGTCATATCAATATCGTCAATTCCCCACTATCCGGCGGTTAGCCATTAAGAGAATGGAATCCGTAGTACCATATAAAAACTCACGTTGACCCAGAGAACCTTCATGTCTGCCTTGCGAAATGATTCCACCAGTTTAATTGTCGTGTTGACAATACTCCTACCAGCCGTTGCATCGGGCGCGAGGGCTGGGTGAAGAAAGTAGTCTAGAGAGACATTAAAACAATTGCCCTGGACTGGGTGGAGGACAGAGATATCCATTACTTTGCATGTCAATTATAACAAGTGCGGACCGTGATGGCTCTATGATGGCCGTCTTGCGAGATCCCAACATATTGGAAATCGTTATCGGTTCGGTCACATCCATCAGGTCGGATCTGGTCAGATCATAGACGCCGTCCGCATAGCTCCAGCTGGATTATGTGTTAGCCAAGATGAATCGGATTAATGAGAGGGGCGAGTTATCACACTGGTTGTAATAGTTACCAATAAGACTTCCTGATTGATTCCCCATACAAGGCCACAGCGCAGAGTCAGAAGCCTGGGCAACCCCCATTCTTCCAAGCAACACACCTACTAGGACTCCGAAAAATCTCTTGTCGTGCATTTCTGATGTATAGAGAAGGTGGTCGAGAGTATATGGAGGAAGGGTGCTAAAAATGAGGGCCGGCTCGTAATCTCTTCTAGAGTATATGCAAAACCACAGGCCGACCATTCAATCAATCATCTAAACTATATAGCCTTAGTACTACGTCGTGTGTTCAGAGATAGGATGATCTTGGATGCAAGTCGAACTTACTGATAAGGGTGCATGGATCCGCCTATCAACTTTCGAGGTCTTTGGAATGGTAGCTCACGCCTTCTCGGAACATGTCCCGGGCGATACATGCGCCTTCTCGGGACACCCTGTCAAGAGAAGCCCGACCCTTATCTCAGTCGCGCGAAAACAACTCTTGATTTGAACCGTTGCCCTCGGCCTCAGTGGACGACAAGCAGAATCCACGCTAAGCTCACGGAGTAGGGCCAAGGTGGATTAATGAGACCATATCTTTTTCCGCGTTCCAGGCAGACGGAGGGTGTTTGATCATTCAGAGAACGGCTCTTCTTCTCATGTCGATCTTTTCGAACCATCACTAGTATGACAATTCGGGGTATACTGGAATTGATTCATGTCTAGTTACAAAATTCAGAAATTAGGCGAACAAAAATCTCTTCCGCTTCCCGAATACTCTGCACATCAACCCATTCCTCCTTCGCATGCAATCCTTGGCCTGCCTGGCCGATCACGATAGTCGGAATCCCTGTGGCGGCAAGAAGAGCTGCGTCGCACCAGATAGCCATGCTGTCAATGGTCGGATACTCCCCGTACACTTCACGAGCAATTGCCGCCGTCTGCTGAACCAGAGGATGCTCAACCGGTAATTTGTAGGACGGACGAGACAGAGTCATTCGAGGTTCATTGTAGCGAAAAGTGGGTTTGAGTTGAGCAATTCCGCCAAGGATGTTTTTAAGGTCGGACAAGATGGACTCATCGCTTTGCACAGGAATAGTACGGAACTCGATGGTTACGGTGCATCTCGACGGGTACGAAGACGGCTCTTCGCCGCCATGGATCAAGCTGCAATGCAAGGATGCAGGCCCGATCATCTCATCGACTGGCAGCCGGCTCTGATATTCTTCGAGAGCCGTAAGAAACCATCCAGCCTGAAGGATCGCGTCTACTCCGGACGCTGGATCAGAGCCATGAGCCGCCGTCCCCAGAATATCGACTTCAAACCACACAAAGCCTTTATGGGCCGTGATAAGGACACGGTTGGTCGGCTCCGGGATAACCGCACCGTCGGCGCGCCAGCCAGCGGCGATCACATCTCGAGTGCCTTGGGATGCATCTTCTTCATCGGACACAGCGGTGAAGATAACATCCCCACGAAGAGGAATCTTCTTAGCCTTGACAGTTGCAAGGGCTGCCATTTCGGCAGCGAGTCCAGACTTCATGTCCAACGCGCCTCGGCCAAAAATAACAGGGCGGCCGTTTTTCTCTCCGATATGCCCAGATAGAGGCTCATGCTCATAGCTGGTCAAGCTGACGGTGTCGATATGACCATTCAGCATCAGAGATTTTCCCCCGCCGGATCCTCTGATCACACCAACAATGGATGGACGGCCGGGAACAGTTTCAATTCGATGAGTCTCAATACCCCTGTATTCGAGCCACGTAGTGAGATAATCGGCGATCTGGGACTCGCCAGCACCAGGTGTGGCTGATAACGTCACATTTGATGAGTCGATTCTGGTCAGGATTTGAGTTATGGCCACCGAGTCTTCGGCGGTAACGTCGACAGAATCTGTCAATTGAGGTGATGTCGAACTCATGATTGAAGTGTTGTGAAGCGTCGTGAGTGGTGAGGGTGCAAGCCAAAGATTTTATTATTCGAATGGGCGCGCGCCTTCCATCAACAAGCCGAACCGTAGGGTGGGGATGGCAGGACTGGGTATCTAATCCACACTTACAAAGTCCCACCTGATAGTAGTTTCTTTTACTGTACCAGTGCCACTTGCCCACCGAGAGTAAACACCGCTGTATAGTGGAGCAATATCGAAATCAGGACCCGCGTGATTAAATGAATTATAAACCATGGCGGAACATCGACTTGTGTGATTGCTATAATTCTAGCCCTAAAGCGGAATTATCAGGATGGGAAACTACGAGTAGACATTAACACACTGAGTGCTTCGGCAGGAATGGGAGTTCAATTCCAGCCAGACCCCTCTGTTTTACAGCAGGCAAGAAAGCGATAAATATGAACATTAAATCGTCAAGTCCCACTCTCATTCTATAAGATATTGTGAAGGGGAGGTATTGTCAATTTCTCCAACTCCTGAACAGCACCTGAGGATAGTAAGCGCCTAACCCGCCTTTGGGATCATACGCCTTCCCCGGACACGCGCCTTCCCCGAACATTTGATCCACTTTGAGGTGACTTCTCACTTCAACATCTTATCTCTAGTTTCCCAGAGTAAAACAGGTCCACTTATAGAGAGACCTCTCTTGAACCTCGGACTCTGATCATAATTGCTTGTTTTGCTCAAAAAAGAACAGAGACATCGAAAGCCATGTCGACCAAGCCAGACTGTTATGCGCAATTCATGCCTTTTCCAAGCAGAAGAAGCACTGTTCACAGTACTAATGGAATAGTCTCGTGCACTCAACCGCTTGCTGCAAATGCAGGTGTCCAAATCTTGATGAAGGGCGGAAATGCAGCAGTAAGTCTACATTACCAATCACGTTGTACCTGACACTCGGCTCATATCTGAGGTAGGATGCTGCAGTCGCAGTGGGTACGTACCTTTCTTTTCCGCCTCCCGGAGTTCATTGGCATGCTAAGAAGTACCAGCTGCTGCTTTGAACGTCACCGAGCCTTGCTCAACAGGAATTGGCGGCGATATGTTCTGCTTATTCTCTGAGGCAAAGACCAAGAGGATCCGCGCCCTTAACGGTTCTGGACGCTATCCCATGGGTGCTACGGTTGACCAGATTCGGCATGATCTCAACGTATCTTCAAAATATAGAGGCTCGATTCCTCTTGACAGTGCGTTGTCTATAACCACACCAGGCGCCGCTGCTGGGTGGGTTGACACGCTAGAAAAATTCGGGAGTGGAAAACTGTCATTAGGACAGGTTTTGGAGCCTGCCATCAAACTAGCAGAAGAGGGTTTTCCGGTTTCTGAGATAGCGTCTCGAAAGGTGAGGCTACGTGGTTCTTCAGTCAGAAAGCAGTACTGACAAAGGTCTCTCAAAGTGGAAATTAAACGAAGATATGATCCGAAAAGCCTCTCCCAACTTCCGTGAAATGCTGAAGCCGGACCCTGCGGCAAAAGACGGGGTAAGATTCCCTAGTCCAGGAGAAATAATCAGAAATCCGAATCTTGCTCAAACGTTTCGCAAATTGGCTACAGAAGGAAAGAAGGGATTCTATGAGGGAAGAGTTGCCGAAGAAATGGTAAAGGTGGTGCAGGATCTTGGTGGTTATCTCTCCCTTGAAGACTTAAAGAAGCACGCGGAGACTGGAAGCCAACTGGTTAATCCAATTTCACTGAAGCTGAACCCGAAGTGCTTCCGCGATATTCAGGCTGAGAGTGATGAGATCGTCCAAGTCTGGGAGCATCCTCCTAATGGCCAAGGAATTGTTGCTCTTATAGCTCTGGGCATTCTTGAGGAGCTGCAACACACCGGAAATCTCCCAAAGTTCCAATCACAACATCACAACAGTACGGAATATCTGCACGCTATAATCGAAAGCCTGAGAATTGCGTTCGCGGATGCGAGCTGGTGGGTGACTGATCCAGACGTGGTCAAGGTTCCTGTCCAAGAAATGCTCACTCGCTCCTATCTTTCTGAGCGTGCCAAACATTTCGATCCAGGAAGAGCTTCCTCTCTCTATACCCACGGCAGCCCAGCTCATAATCACTGCGACACTGTCTATTTTGCAGTTACCGACAAAGACGGTAACGGGGCATCCTTTATAAACAGCAACTATGAAGACTTTGGCTCATGCATTATCCCAAAGCAGTGCGGTTTCACATTACAAAATCGTGGGTCGAACTTCAGACTTGACGACGGTCATCCTAACATCCTTGCACCGGGAAAACGACCTTATCATACCATAATTCCTGCGATGGTAACAAACCAGGATGGATCATTACATTCCGTTTTCGGAGTGATGGGGGGCTTCATGCAACCCCAAGGGCATGTGCAGGTTCTCCTTAATATGTTGGTATTCAACCTTAGCCCCCAAGCGGCCATTGATGCCCCTCGGATATGCATTGGGCCTACATCAAGCGAGGAAGGTAGTCCGACAATCTTTGTGGAAGAGGGAATTGAACAGCGGACTATTGATGGTCTGACTCATCTCGGACACAATATTGTCGTATTGAAAGGTCACGGCAGATCAGTTTTTGGTCGCGGTCAACTAATTCGATGCCGCCTTGTTGATGGAAAAATTATATTCAGCGCAGGGAGCGATCCCCGCGGCGACGGGCAGGCAATTCCGGTTTAGACCAATTATTCAACTAGACTTGATCACACAGTTGGTTGGTTGATGCTATCACCCTGAACGGAGGAAAAGGAACAAAGTGGATGTGGAATAAGAAGCAACATACCTAGCCGGTGCAGCTGAACATGGATGCTGCATGGGGATTGGAATATCACTGTCTTACCTCTTGTTCTTGTTATGGAACCTTTGAGCTCGTTGGAGGGGGAGTGGAGTTTGAGATTGTCTTGTCTTGCATGGGTTATAAGAATTGTTACTGAGTCTCATATTCCAATTGTCCATGATTTGATGTGGGAGAGAGTCCGGGGCCCGTCTCTCAAGCACCATCGCCCAGGGAAAGGAGATAGCGATCAAGCTACACGATCACGGAAAAGAGGATGTTGGTACGAGAGATTAGTATATACCACGCCTCGATCCGGTATCGTAGTTATCCAAGGAAAGGAAAGGAGATTTATGGGAATAAGACCCGTCACAGCATTGACTGCATAGGAGCGGCCTCAGTACCCGTGGTGGTCCATGGCTTCAAAGGCATAAGGAATATCCGGTTGGTTGGAAAATACGGCCACAGCGCCATTTCCATACTTGGATCAACGGATAACACACAGACCTCAGAGCCCAGGAAGGAGCTTACGGCCTGGTTTGCGGTTACTATTAGAAATCATAAAGGGGTCGTAGAATCATATGGGAGAGTATTTGAGTTCAGTTTCTTATTCGGCTCTTGTCGGATTGCTGTTGTGTCCATGGCAAAGTCGTCAGAACATCCTAAAAGAAATCTTGTTCTCTTTTCATACACCCGTATATCTCGTGTCACCCTTTGTACGGTGAATTTCCGTATGTATTGGTGAGGGTTTTGGTGTTCGGAAAAATGAAATGAAATAGCATAGAATGTGTGGTGACGTAAAATAAGTGATCGAAAATGATATCAAAACTGAGAAAATGCATACGGGGAATGGAAAACAAAGAGGGTTAGACTGTGGAACTGGGATTTCAGAAGATTCTTAGTCGTCTAACACACTTGTTCTACTGTGGATGGGAGAGTTTTGGATAGTGGATTAGATGCACTGTTGGTGGTCTGCTTGATGTGTCTGTATATAGAAGGAGCCAAATAAATACTGGGTTTGTGAGGTGTCCTACTGCTTACTGCTTTGATACTAAAGTAGTGGGAATGAAAGCCAAATGACTCGTGTATTGACTAGCTGTCAGGGAGGTAAAGGGGTATAGCTGCAACTGAATACTCACTCCAAACGCCAATCCAAATATCGATCCAAACATCGATCCAAATCTCAACCAACAACTACTTTTCCCGCGGCTCCACAAATGATCCAAGAACATTTCATAGACCAACGACCGGAAAGCCTTGCTATGCATGCAATCGGTCCTTCCAAAGAGAGGAGACATAGGAAAAAGCAGTCAACGAATGTACCGCACCAGATATTCATAGCTTCATATCCCGTTAATCACCATTATCGTTAGCACTCATATAAATCGAAGGAGATGTAATGTATATGGTCAGTCACGCAATGATGCCCGACCCTGAGGTTCCCGATCCCCAACGGATGCGTTTAAGACCACCTCGGACTGCTTCTTGGCCACAGCCTGCCGCTGCTCTGCCGGGAACGCCAGTATCGCCTGCCACGGTCATTCCAGTGCTGGCCTCCAGGCGACCGACTTCGCGACCCAGCACGTAGCCAGCGGAGAAGCTGATGGCTGAAAACAGGACGACGACACCCGCGCTAATCACCCAGGTCATGACGGTGGGACTAGCAGTCGAGGCATCTGCTATGCTGGCTCGACGACTCTTCTTTGCAGAGGAGTGACTACGTTCTTTGGATGGACTGGATCGCCGCTTGGCTCGAGTGGCCGACTGGGCATCGCGAGGTGAGTATGAGGCCGGCTGCGGAGTGGGGCCCTGCCGCGGGGTTCGAGTGGGGACAGTCGCTTCCGTCCCTACAGCTTCCTCGCCGACTTCTCCTCCCATCGCTACTGATTCCGGTACTAAGCGGAAGGAAGAGGGATGGCCCCGGGAAGGACTGGCCTGTGAGGGAGGAGGGTCGGATTTAGGCAGACCTCGAGCTGCAGCGGCACAGGAGAGTAATGTGGATAGACTGGCACGCAAGGCGGCATCGTGATCCGCATGGTGGGACGGTGAGATCATATTGAATGGACTATGTTGCTGGGAGGATCTCCGTGCGGAGCGTATACTTGCTTGAGAGTTTCTGCGGATCGCTGTGCGACGGCTGGAGTTGGACACCTCACTCGGCTGTGAACGGTGTCCTCCGCTAGGCCTCCAAGAGGTGTTTTGGGATGCAGGTGGGTGCGAGAAGACGTTGGGCTGAGGAACAAAGGGAGCTGAGCCCATGCGCATTCCCAACGCCGTTGAGTTGTCATCATCATCATCCTCATCCTCATCACTGGCATCATCGGAAGCGGTTGAAGAGGGGCCAGGTCCCGGGACGAACGGGGTGGGTAAAGCTTGACGGACCATGTCCTCGTTCGAGCTGCTGAGGACACGGTCCGACTCACTCTCACTCTCCTCGTATTCGTCTTGGCTACTGCTTTGTTCGCGGGACGAGTAGTCGACTTGGGCGGTGGTGACGGCAGCCAGCCGCTGCAGACGGCGCCGTCGACTGCGATGGTATGCACCGGCTTCATTCTGCTGGACGCGGAGACCCGTGGTGATGATATCATCGTTGGTGC